TGCATGTAGGTTTTCACAATTCAAATTTTTGTCACAATTTAAATAGGAATACATTAAATACTGTGGTTGAAGAAAAAGATCTTGGCGTTGTGATCCAAAAATCACTTGAGTCATTTAAATAGTGTATTGTGGCTAGCAATAGAGCTAATAGGATTTTGGGTAGCACCTATAAAAGTATTGAATACAAGACAAGGGATATTATTGTTTCACCGTATAGATCACTTGTGAGGCCTCATTTAGAATACAGTGTACAGTTTTGGGCTCCCTTCCTCAAGAAGTACATTGAATTGTTGGAGAAAGTTCAGAGAAGAGCCACTAAGATTATACCTAGGATGGTGGGATTGTCATATGAGGAGATACTAAAATCTCTAAACTTGTTTTCTATGGAGAAGAGAAGAGGAGATTTGATTGAGGTGTTTAAGATTATTAAGGGTGTTGATAATGTAGATTCATCAAACGTTTTTGTGTTTAGCAGTGAAAATAGGACAAGGGGGTCATAAATTCAAATTTTGGCAGCATGGGAGTCGTTTGTAGTTTAGATATTATTATTTTTTAAAGAGGGTGGTTGCTTTTGGAATGAGCTGCCTTCAAGGATGGTGGAGGCAGAAAATTTAAGTGAGTTCAAGAAAAGATAGGATGAATATATGAGATAAGAGGTGGTTATAATTGGGAGCTGGAAGGGACATCCTTAATGGGTCAGTAAGCTCCTTTTTATACCTTTAAATTTTAAGCTGGAAGGGACATCCTTAATGGGCTAGTAAGCTCCTTTTTATACCTTTAAATTTTATGAATCTTTTGGAAGTCCTTTTTTATGACTCGTAAAAATTCATCGTATACCATTTGTTTAGAATCTCTCAAGTTTTGATTGCGTCTGATTTGACACCTTCGACTATGAGTTATAAAAACTTGAAAAAGAGACTATTTTGAGTAAAAGATTACTTGTCTCTAGTAACTACTTTTATACTTTCTTTACTTTGTTTTGTAACTATTATAATTGAAACCATCTTTGTAATCAGTAGTACCTCATTCCTTAGAACTGTTTTAAGTGACAAATTTAATCTCACCAAAGGAGCCATTTTATAAGAACTGATACCCTGTATATATTACCAGTGGTGGAGGTTTCTTCCTGTTCGTCCACTCTATACATAACTTTTCCAGAGATTATATGATTAAATACTCCAATACAATACTCAGTAGATAGTCCATTTCACATAATTAGAAGAAGGCGTTTGTTAAAGACATTTTCAAATGACTAAACAGGGAGAAATGAGTGACGTTTGTGCTCCTAGTGATAATAACAAGTTACTCTGAATAATTATTACATTACATTATTACATTAATAATTAATGATCACTTGATGAATTCTGTTTTGTGATACTGTAGTCTCAGAATATACACAGAACGCACGGGTTTAGTGTAGAAAGAGCAACTGTGCATATAACATTTACTTTATTAATATATGTTTATGCTGTTCACAAGAATGAAATAATCTGTTACTTTTCTATGGTTTTTAACTTTTAAATCTAGTCTATTTTGACAGTAGTAAAGCCTTGTTTTTTTGTCTATTTACTTGCATGACTTTAGCTTGAATCACACATTCTTATAACCTTATACGAGACTTAAGAAAAAATTCGGGACTAGCGTAGCATGATGGATACGCATCCAGGCTCGAAACGATCGAGTTTCTAGCCATTATATGCCGCTAAATACGCTTCGCACTTTCAGTTGTTGGCGCGTTATAAAAGTGATAATCCATTTCTGTTTGTCAGCAGGTCAAAATTACTGACGGCTGTGCCTGAATTTTAGATCTCTGACCTTGCTTCACACAAGTTATTGTTCAGGTTGAAATACCACATCTAAAATACAAAGAAATGATTGGTCTCACCTTTCGTAATAATTAAATCAACGATGCAAATTTTATTGATATTACTTACATAAATATAATACCACTGAAGGTTAAGCCGTTAACTATTAATACAAATTTTATTGATATTACTCACATAAATATAATACCACTGAAGGTTAAGCCGTTAACTATTAA